AAAAATATAAAAATCAGTAATATGCCGATCATGTATAGAAATAATGCCAAAGCTTGGATGCTTATTACCCTTTTCCAAGAATGGCTCTAAGAATTTAACTTTCAAGTTGCCCAAAAACACTATAGCCAACATGTGCTTTTAATTTTAGACCAATGCACTAGTCATAAAATAGATAATTTAAACTTATGACACGTTGAAGTTTATTTTTTGCCCTCTAATACAACTTCAAAAATTCAACCTATGGATGCCAGGATTATTATGAGTTTCAAACGCCACTATCGTCACCTACATGTTAGCTGGATATTACAACAAGTTGAAATGAGAGAACAAGCAGAAGAATTAAAAATGAATGTTTTGCAAGCCATTCAGTTTATAATTCAAAGCTGGGAAGAGGTAAATTCTGAAACTATACATAACTGTTGGAGACATACTAATATTTTTCCTGCCACTTATAATGCAGATCTACGAAATCTTTCTGAGAATATTTCTCAAGATAATTCTGCGCTTGCTAATCTTTCCGAAATGCTTAAAAATATTAAATTTTCTGACTCTATGCAAGCCGAAGAGTTCCTAACTATCCCAGAAGAAAATATTATCTATGAAGTTTTTAAAAATGATCAGGCTATTGAAGAACTTGTAGAAATATTCACCAACGAATGCGATCTAGAATATTCTGACCCTGATGAAGTTAACGATAGTTCAGAGACTCCCATCATCACATCTAATGAAGCAATTAAAGGTTTAGAGACAATTCACCTATATCTACTTCAATATAAAAATACTAGCGAGCATCTAAAGTTAGTTGATAAAATCAAAAAAGTTATTAGAGAAAAAAAAGTGAATACAATGCAACAAGCTACGATTAATAGTTATTTTAGTTAATCTGTACTTATCTTTCAAGACATCAGTAAAGATGTAATTCAACTTAAAGTTACAGAATATTAAATATTCTTTTTATAGATTAGATAACATTTAAAGAATATAAATAAATAAAGTAAAATATTTATTTTATAGCTTTTAACTCAGGCACGAAAAAATTATGTTACTTTACTAAATTAGCCAGGTCACAATACAAGTAATATGAATAGTCAAAGTAGTGCATACAAGATCGTTTGGTCATGTGATATACAAGCAATGTGATTGGTCTTATTTCACGTGACTTAGTTGATGACTTTCTACATACGGGTTCTCTAATTGCACACCCTCTTTAAATGCATGATCATGTTCGGTCCCTAGAGCGTGCATTTAGAGAGGTTTAACTGTATAATTTATTTGTCCAATGATTATTTTACTAAAAAAATAAAAATTTTATATAATAAAAACTTTTATTCCCTTCTAATAACCTCTTATATATCAAAAATCTGATTATATAAAAAATCTAGAATATTTTTACTTAACAATAGAATAATGCTCAATATGTATATATTATAAAATTTACTATAAATAGTTATTATTTTTTTTTAGTACAGATTAATTTTTCTACAATATTTGCTTATTCTTAATATAATAATAAGAGATTAAAAGTTGATAGGGAATAAAATATTTAGATAATCAGTGATATTTTATTGTTTAAAATTAGTTATATATATACTGATTAAGTAAAATTGCAAAATATTTTAAATATATTTAATACAATAAATTTAACTAATTTAAATAAAGATAAAAAATTTCAAATTTATAACAATAAATCAAAATAATTTAATAATATTTTATATAAATATATATATATAAAGATTGATTACTTTAGAGGTTAGGATTCTGTAGCCTAGTGGTCTAGACACTTAACTCTCTATAAGCAGGATTTAGATTTAGATCCTAGTAGATACAGATTCTATGAATATTTAAATATATTCACTGTGGAAAGTTCAAGTAAGTACAAGTTTGGATTAGGAATTTCCAGAAAGAAATCTATTGTGAAGAAATTAGCACTACATGTAACTACAGTTATTACAAAAGGTTCTATTACACAATAGTTATATATATAAATCCTTAGTTGGTATTGGTAGCACTAATAACTTTAAGATAGCATTGAGATTTTGTTTGGAAAGATGACTAGGTAGTAACTAGAATTGGAGTAGTAAAAAAAGTAGTGAATACAAAAAAATCTATAATAAAGAATTAGCCTTATTAGATTTGAAATACCTCTAGCACTATATAGAATTACTTATCAAAAAGAGGCTAAAGTATAAAGATATGTATATGTCAAGACCTAATAAAGCTCTAGGCATACCTATATAGGAGTTTTTGGATGTTACAAGGGCCTAGAATCACCAAAACTAGTGTAGCTAGTACAAGTGTATACAGTGTGTAACTAGAAGCTACAACTGCTAAAAATTACTATAAAAAAAATAATGATGTACCTGTTACAAACCTCTAAGCATACACAGCTAACTCTTTCTGCAAATCCCTAACACAAAAATCTACTTCAAATTTGCCTAACAAAAAACACCTATTTTTCAAAATTTTACTAAGTTAACCTAA